AATAATATAGTTATGTTCGGTATAAAAAATTTTTTGCAAAATTGTGTACTATTCTCCTATCAATTTATGTTCAATACATATATATGCATGTCATACAAACAAGTGTCAATAACGAACACTTTCAATAACAAATCAAGATTTTGCAAAACACCTCCATCACGACAATAATTGTACTTTTTTTCTCTCATAGAAAAAATCACATTATTAAGAAAAATGGATTTTGAAATTCATCACAATATGATATTGTCTCAAATTTTTACTCATCAAAATATTTTTATTACAATGAGTTGTAATGGTGAACAAGAAGAAAAATAAGAAGATGGTGAAAGAAAAATTACAAAAAATCTATAGCAGTATTCTCTCCAAGCAAAGTTAAACCAGTTGAAATAGGAATTGTCATATATGTTGTGAAGTTCATCAAGAAAAACAATGTGATTCATGTACACATTTTAGTTAAATTATAAGAAAAAAAATAAATAATATCCAAACATTATCGCAACAACTCAATGATGCAGAAAATAAGTATATCAAATAAAAAGTTTCGTTTAATTTTTGTCATATGCTGATTACTTACAAATGACATAATAAATTATGTAACTTGATAATTTCATGAAAGTGACCCTGCAAACAATTTAAAGTATGAATCTATAAATATTTTGAAAACAATTATGAAATTCCTATGTCGATCGAAATATTAAGATACAATATCATTCAATTTTCTTAAAAAAATTACTCCACATTTTCTACATAAATAAAAATATATTAATAACTAATATTATAATCATGCAAGATATTCGTGGCACAGGAAATAAGACTCAACAACTTTTGATGTATAAAAATATATTACATATTGATATTAATGCATTCTTACACCAATAGTATGCAAATAATATGCAATCATGGGTTTAATGAATTTGTATTATGAGATGAACTATTAAACCAAATTGTGTAATTGTACAATTAATTTCATACCTTCAATTGTATTACAGGTACAGATTATTGAAGTAGGAAGTTTATAGAAAAATATTTGTGTAATACTATATATTAAAGGACATGTTTATTATTTATTGTTCAAGATAAGATTGTGATCTCAACAATGTAGTTATAAATTAATATATTAATATATATATTTATAAAATTTCTCATTTATCATTTAAACTCTTCAGCCAAATATGTATTCATTTCTTATTTAATTGGGTTTTAGATGTAAATCAATTTACACATACAAGTCTACATACTTTTTATACATATCACATACCAATTTAAGAGACACGCATGATTATAGTACTAACAATTGATGAAAAATTACGTGTCACGTGCAACGCATGTGTCCAACCACTAGTAAAAATAAAAATAAAAATAAAAGGAAGTTTGTTACTCAAAACATATAAGGTAAATTATAAATACACTTTCTGATATTTGCTTAAAATACGAATTGTTTCTTATGATTTAGAAATGACAAATATCCCGTTGTTAAATTTTTTTATATAACAGAGTTAATAGAAAAATGAAATTCTTAATTACTCTTTTATATAATAATAAAATTTTAAGAATTATTAATTGAAATTTATTTATGATATTATAAAAACTGACTTTCTTTAATTATAAAAATTGTATAAAAAAACCACTTTCGAATATCGTTTATACAATTTTTACGGTTGATATAGTCAAAATATACAAGTGTTGTGGTTTTTTTTTTTTTTTTTGGAACCGGGGTTGATCCCCGGCATGAAGAAAGGACAAGTTTGTGGAATGGTGGTGGTGTTATTTTGTGTTGTTGTTTTGTTTAATAAAACAAAATAAAATAAAATAAAACAATGGAGAAAGAAAATAGATAAAAAATATTTGTGGATGGGTCATATGAAAAACATCGCGCATTTTTTCTACAAGACATTTTATATATATATATATATACATATATATTCTAAAACAGATCCAAAACATAAGTACAAAGATTCTGCAGAATAGAGTCTGTGCCAACCAAATTGAGAAGATCCCCATACAGCTTGAGTCCATGATGCTCAAGCAAAAGCTATCCAACAAGGGTCGGCTTGATTCACTTTTAGAATAATAATTTGGGTGTAAAGTTGTGTTTTAAATTTTAAAATTTTAAATTCTAATTTGAAAAGAGAAAATTTAATTAGTTGTAAGTTTTGAAAATAGTTTTGGGATAATTTGTATTTATTTATTTTGATTGATTGATGTATAGAATGTGAGAGGAGAGAGAAAAAATAATTAATTGATTGATTACTAATAAAAATAAAAATAAAAATAAAAATAAAAATAAAAAGAGAAGAGAGAAGTTTTGAAAATAATTTAAATTATATTTTAAAAACATATTTGATTAATATGTTTCATCCAAATCATGATTTAAAAATAAAATAAAATTTTAAAAACTAAATCAAACGCTACAAAGTGGTGTTTTTGAAAGTTGGTAAAAAATTAGTTTTTTGACTTTTTGACAAAAAAGCTGAGTTGTTTTAGGTATCGAGTACTTTATCTTTGTAAAAAAATCACGTTGATCGGATATCAATAGTTATTTGATTGGATTGGATTTTTGTCAACGGTAAATATAATTTTCAAAATAAATTGTTAACAAAGATTTGACCCAATCAAGTAGATATTTGACTAACATGATTTTTTATAGGATAAAGTACTCAATAAGTTCTGCATATTGAACGGTTCAAATTATCGAAACAGAATCCATGATGGGCCTCACAGACCCAACAACACCATCCACTCAAGCCTAGCGCTTTCAAAAATTTGTTAACCAAATAAATTTTTTGATTTTTAAATTTTAAAAACTAAATCAAACGCTACAAAGTGGTGTTTTGGAAAATTGGTAAAAAACTGACTTTTTAACTTCTTGACAAAAAACCGAGTTGTTTTAGGTAAAAAAAACCGACTTTTTTGCCTAAAAAAAAGCTAAAAAATCAAAAAATTGACTTTTTACCATTATTCCCAAAAGACCCCCAAAGACTTTTTTTGGTACGTACACCTACGTCATATATGTAAACGAAAATGTTTTTGCAAACACAATTTTGTACAAAAACTTTATTGTTAGTGATATTTGTAAAATTTTAAAAATAATAATGAGCATTTTGATTAACAATGAAGAGAGATAAAAAAAAATCATACTATTTTGTATGAAAATTTTATACAAAAATTTTATTTGTATATATATCATGAGTTGAGCTTCTCTCAATTTCAATTAAGAGAATTTGAGGAGCCCGTGAGATCCATCACATATGTCATTTCATTGATTAGAATTATTCATTTTATAAGACTATTATTATTAATGTATATTGTCTATGAAAAAAATTTAATTAATCTGATAATTATAATATTTTTATTTTATCAAAATTCGTTTTCAAAAAAATAAACAAGTATGTTTTTCAAACTAAATCATCTATTTTTTTGAAATAAATACAATAAATAAAAATATTACAATCAAATCAATCTTACTATTCTCATAAATAATATATACGAAAAATCTTGCAAAATTTTGAATCATCAAAACTAACCTGCGGTGAACCTCACACCCCCTCGACTTCTCTCAAAATCTAATTTATATTTAAGAAAATCTAATCCATATGTCATTATTAGTCTACAAAAGTGATATACCTAATTTTAAGGCTACTACTTTTCTACCAACTTGCTTTGAATGTACACAAAAGTAGGTCACCTATTCATGAAGAGCAAACAAACATTTGGTTAAGAGTGTCGTCAAAATCTTTAGTGTGTATATATATACATATATTAATAATTAAGGCCTATTTTTCCAATTGAGTTAAAATTCAATTTTTTAACTTTTTAATTTTATTAGATCACATCATCTTTTTATTTTTTTACATATATTTTTTTTGAAAAAATCAAAAAATTAATTTTTAACATACTTTTCAAAATAAACCTAAGTGTTCGAATTAGCTTGGACGCGCACCTTTATTAATTCGAAATCTTAAATTTTATTCTCAAATTTTTATACATATTTTATTTTTGAAAAAATCAAAAAATTAATTTTTAACATACTTTTCAAAATAAACCTAAGTGTTCGAATTAGCTTGGACGCGCACCTTTATTAATTCGAAACCTTAAATTTTATTCTCAAATTTTTATCTCTTTGCCAACCCCTTGGATTAAATCTTTAGTGTATTCTTAATTACATAATATCACAAAAAATTCAAAACATAATTATACAACAAAAAGTTGCATTGAAAATAAAATGAACAATTTTAGAAAGTAAATCTCGTGCATAGAGTGTACAACCTCCAGCCGGTTTAATAATCAGAGAGAAGATATGTGCACAAAAATTGTGTACAGAAAAATATCCAAAATTTTATTATGTGATTCAAATTTAACTCATATATTATAGATGCTATGTAAATTTAATTTGAACCACAGATAAGTTCCATGTAAATGTAATTTTAACACTCATTAGAACAACTTCCAAATGCCTAACCTAACACTATAGATTTGGAAAAATCTATGATGCACACCCCTACAAGAGTACGCTATGAAAGTGGGTACAGCACAACTGTTAACGATGCGCTAGCTAGCAACTGTCCAGGAAAGTCGATACACATTTCATGACATGATCTTAAGCACCACCGTTAACAATGCACTAGCTAGCAGCTGTTGAGCAAAGTTTATACACATTTCATGACATTAGTTTAAGTGCAACGAGTTAAAATCATTCGGACAAGCGAATAAATACACTTCCAAACTTTACTACTACAGATATCACCAAGTTATGGTCTCCTTTTTAATCAATTAAATGGTTAAATCAGATGATTAAAAAAAAAAAAAACTAGCATCAATTCCCCATCTACGACCTGCACTCACTCATCCTTCCCAGCATGTTCTATGTTAACGAATACAGCAGGAAGGTCAACAAGTAAAGTAAAAGAACTGAAACTTACAAAAGGTTCATGAGAGAGAGAGAGAGAGAGAGAGAGAGAGAGAGAGAAAGAGAGAGACAAAGAGAGAGAGAGAGAGAGAGAGAGAGAGAGAGAGAGAGAGAGAGAGTTCATTTATGTTCAGAATGCTGGAAAAAGAAACAGTAATATTCAGATACCTTAAAAATACAAGAAAGATTTTGCAGAGGCCCAATCTAATAACTTAATTGTTGAGTCACCTTGATGTGATTAGAAGGCAAAATTCTCAAAAGACAGCCCTAAATTCTACTCTTCTGCCATCTGTCTCTTCATCTTCGTCTTACCATTCTCTCATCCTTTATATATACGGAAGGGATTCCACAAATCTTGACCATAAATTCAAGACGACTATCAACTCAGCATTTTGCTACCCATCAGAGCTGTGTATACTACGAGCTAAGATACCTAACTTTGCAGCTACCCCAAAAGTAAAATGGGAAATGTGTTCATGATATTTCACGCGACCACTACTTTCAAGGCATAGGCAATCACGGTTACCTTGATCGCTGGTCCGAACCCGCTGCAACAGGGTTGATGCTAGGCCCTACACCATTCTCTAGTGGTGGTGTGGTACCCCACCTTCCCTCGGCTTCCAGGGGCTCGAGAACATGAACTCCGCCATCAGTAAGCCCCAAGGCAAATTGATTAGGTTCAGAGGGATGGGCCGTTACAACAAGTGGATGTACTCTTGGGCTATCAAATGAAATAAGCAGGCAATTAGCTTGGAAAAATGATCATATCAAAATTTTAACTTCTTTTCAGGAATAATAACTCATACCTGGGACTTGGAGGTAAGTAGGCAGTGGAGCTAATTCGGCATCTCAGTCTGAGTGTTGAAGCAGTGAGGACAGTTACACTCCCATCTTCAAAGCTTGCAAAGATTGATTGGCTATCGCACGAATATGTGGCATCTGTGATTGAACCACTTAACTCTCGCGGAACCCACTGCCATAAACAACAAATTTTGAAAATCCATCAATATTAATAGAAAAACTAAAACCAAGTCATTCTTTGAACATCTGAAATTTACTCACCAAAGAACAAATATATGAAAAGAAAACAAAAAATTAAAGTTGGTCCCTCCTAAACAACAAGGGGGTGATTTATGTACAAAAGAACATTCAGCATAAACACAGTTCCAATTAAGGAGATAAACAAGCATTTCAATTGTAAGCACTTTATCTTTTTGAAAAGTATTTCAGTTATACGCTCAACACCTACAAATTATAAATAATAAAAAAAAAATCCATGATATTCTTCAGAAGTAATGTCTGACACACCTGCTTAATACATTCTAGCTTTGGTGCCTCATATATGGCTATCTGAGTTTCATGGACCACCAGCAGATGAACCTGATCTTGATGAAATTGGACACGTGTCTGTGCAAGAGGAGCTGCCGTTCGCCCTGGCGGTATCTGCAAGAATGCACTAGCCTGCTTCTCCCATCCATCTGAGCTCCAAATGCAGAGCTGTAAGAAAGAAAGAGAGAAATCAGCAGCAGCTTACAATGACCACAAAATTTTAATACACAACATATCTACTTCTGTTCTGTTACTCCTTTCAGATTAAAAACTAAAAATGCAACAAAATGGATTAATTTTTGTTTCTGGTAACAGTCCTGGTATCCCCAGCTCACCACCCACAACTTAGATACATCGAAACAGAATGAATGCACCTTAATACCATGCCTCAGATTACTAATGCAACATCACTTCATTCATCTGCACTTGTTTTGTCTAACAAAATATCCCAGAACTTCTAGTACCACTTGTCAATATCAGTTTCCTATCTAATGTCATGTAAATAAGCTATATATAAGATTGTTGCCTTCATATTTTATTGCAGACCCCTCTATTTTATACCGTACTTTCTGTGGAAGGGTTGGTTGACCAAAGGTCAGAGGTTTACCAGATAGTAGCAAAACACATCAGCACCGAAGGCAAAAGGGATGATTGAGAAGAGATGGAGCAGTGCAGCCAAGATAGGGGGAGACAGTAGAGAGCTTGAGTACAGAGCTCAACCAGAGATGATGTATTCCAAGTCTCATATAAACAGTCTATATTGTTTACCTTTCAGTTAACTCTAGTACATAGGAAATGAGACTCCATCTTTTTACAGTGAATTTATCAGCCATTTTCTTTCACTCATATAACAATCTGGGTTAGTTTTTTTTTTTTTTTTTGAAAAAAAAAAAAACAGAATTCTGGGTTAGTTCATCAACTCAAATGATGAATAAAATAGGAAAATATATATTCAATTAATTTAACTTCTTTAGAAAGAGGGAAATAAGAGAGTTTATGTTTCAACGAACCACACGTAGATATATTGATAACACCTATAGAGTTAATGGTATTTCATAGTTAATTGACTGAGCAGCAGCCCGTAGACCACATAAAAGGAATATTTATTATTTGATCCATATCTGGATAAATGCACTAACTGATGCACAGCTCTTAGACATTTTGTTCAAACCCTGATTGAGGAAAGTAAGATCCAACTTGATGGGAACTTTATCCAACCCTCGGCATCCATCTTCGCTCCATCGAACCAAAGTACCACCTTTTATATATAAAAGGTGAGCCATTGTCATAACTATTAACTAAGTATAAAGAACACCAACAATATTTTTAGGGAACTTGTCAGAAGTCAATTAGACCATTAGGATTCCGTAATGATTATGGAGGAGCTTAATAACGAGGTCTCTATCTCAGTAGGACTGGACTACAGCAGCTTAGCTGCTTGAGTAGTCACACTGTGTTGAAACCTTCATCCCAGGCTCCAAGCCACAAAATCCCATAGTTCGAAGGTGCATGGCAAAGGTTTTGGCACATCTAGATCCTACCTCTTAGCACATACATAGGCAACAACATTATACAACATCCTCAGAGATGGAGCAGAATAACTACCACAGTTAAGTGATGGGATGTGCAGTATGACCACCGTCGTAACTGAGTCATGCAGAAGGCTACCACAACATCAAGAGTTATAATTCCAACGCCCACAGCATGTCAAGTAGGCAAACTGAGCCAAGACATCGAGAGGGTTTATACTCCTAACCCCCACAGCATGTCAAGTAGGCAAACTGAGTCACGCAGTATGTTGTTTCTTTTTTTTATTCACTTTTCAAAATTCATGCACAACATACCTGAGCGTCAGCTCCAGATGATACAAGAACATTTAGAACATTTGAGAACGCAAGACCAGTTACTCTCTTCTGATGCCCTTTGAGCTTGCTTTTAACCTGTACAACATGTAACACCAAAAAAGTTCAATTATAGAAAACAGAAGTACTTATCAACATATCTAACAGCAGAAGTTAGGTCTCTGTTCAGGCCAAACCTCGTCAACGCGAACATTGTAGATTTGTATTGTTGAGTCCTCCATGCCAATAGCAATAATATTATTATCCTGTGGATGGAAGGCAAGGAATGTTGCTGCAGGTGGAGGCGGCATGAATGTTGTCATTGTCTACACAAAAGAAGAGTAAAAAACTTATACACACAAATATATATATATATATATATATATATAACACCAACCAACAAGCAGAAAATAATTATTGAAAAACACAAAAGGATCCACAAAAGGTAGAAGCATGTTTGAATTGCATTACCTTAAAAGTCATCATATTAAATAGGGAAATTTTTCCTCCTGATGCCGACATAACATAAGAATCATTCTTCGAAAGTGCAAAACACGGAACGGCATCTTCAAGGTTTGTCTCACTTATATCATTGGTCATTAATATGCCACTAGAAGGTTGCCATAATTGTGGTGGTGCACTTGTATTCGCCTACAAGAGGCAAAGCATGTATAAGGAAAATCTCATCAAGTGGAACAAAATAGGACTAGAGAGACAAACAATCAGAGTACCTTTCCTGTCATGTTCCGTTCATTCCTCTGCCATTTCCAGAGTTTGTGTACAGCATTATATGCTAGTGCCAAAATGGCACCTCCTGAATTTGTATAAATCAACCTAATAATCTGAAATTGAGAAATGAAAACAGTCATGACTTGGAGATCCAGTAAAATGCCTACCACATAAGAACATCCCATTTAAGTTTATAGAAGAGGATAACAGTAAGCACTTGGGATGAGTTTCACAAATTCTTAATTGTAAAGTTACTGCATACATGTGAACACAAAAAAATGCATGCATGCACAGATAACAAACTAGTGTACACTAAAGCATAGATTGTGACATGAGGAAGCTATTATTCTTTCTAAAAATATAAGAATACCCTACATACTTCAAATAAAATCTCATACACTAACATTTTCTGCATATTGAAACCAAATCTATACATTTAACCTAAAAAAACAAAAGAGAATACAATGGAAAAACATAAGCAAAAACGTCTAATACTTGGGCAGTAGATTACATATCAAGTAGCATTTATATCCACTACTTATTAAATAGAAACATCTCTCTTCAACCCCTGATAGCCTTTCTTGAGGCAACAACGGAACACAGTTATTGACCCGACCAAATTTAAAAAACAAAAAACAATGACATAAAGAAACCTGAAAAAAAGAAAACAATGAAAGTAAAAACTCCAGGCTGGGGAGATACACAAGCTTCACTTTTGACTAGTAACATTGAGTATACTTACCCTTACTGACAACAAATTATCGGGAAGCCTCAGAGAACGAAGCTGAGATGATTCGGTGATTTCAGTAAGCTTCCAAATCTTAGATTTTTCTAGCTCCTCTGTGATTCTAGGTTTCACATCTGGCAAACTTCGGCTATCTCCATTCTACAAAAAATTTCAAAGGCTAGTCAATCAACATGAAGACAGTATAGTAAATTTCAACTCATACAATTATCTATGCGCATGCACCAACTCACATATGACCATTTGAGCATATGACATCATCCAATCATCTATAACAAAGCACAGATGGGATAATTAAAATGAAAAACATGCAACTTTTGTGAAAGAAGCACACCAGTGTCCACCTGACAGGTATCCTCGCTTACCAGTGTAATCATAGGGATCGCTGGAGCATTTCTATCTGCAACACCAACATTTGTTCCAGCAGCTGAACTGGAAGCACCAAATGTACCAATTACGGGGGCCTGCATGATACATAATGCATGTTAAAAAGAGCATGTACATATCAAAGTTGTCAAGGAAAATTTGATGAGAGACTTACTTTTGCAGCACTCTCAGAAGCCATTCTAGAAGCATCAAGTGCACGACTTTCAGTGGAACGCAGAAGCCTAACACCGTCAGAATTTGCAAGAATCTTGACACCATTCTCACTTGTTGAGACAGCCAACAGCATTCCTTCCTTATTAAACCGAATGCAAGGTGAAGCCTGAGAGGTTTTTTATGCAAGGATTATTACTTTGCACCAAGACATTTCTCCAGAAAGATGGGAAGCAAATCTAAAAGAGATGCAATTTGATTATTACCGGCAATCCACCCTCTGCATCAGTAGTTGTCAAGAGGTTAACATTATCCATGTCCCAAAATTTGATTACAAACTCGTCACCAGCAGCCAGAAATCTGTTTTTTGTTGTATCAAATTGCACAACCCCAACAGACCGCTTCCCAAGACCATGATATGTCCGCTTGACAGCTCCTTCACTTTCATTCCATTCTACAATGTATGATTCTCCTTCCTTGCTAGTCCCACATGAGAACAACCTACAGAGTTTTCAACATGATCAGAAAAGATGCAAATGAAGCACAGATCATCTTGTGAATTAACAGCCTATCCTATATATACCTTGTCCCATCAGCACTGTAAGCCATTGTTGTGCAAGAATGTCCTGGGGCATCATAATCAACCCTTGAACCCAAATTATCATACAACCATGCCTTAATCTTCCCATCAATACCCGTCGAAAAGATGAACTGATAGAGAAAAAGAAAGATCCTTAATTATAAGAAACAGATTGGAAAGGTCTAAGGACCGCGTAGAACACCACTCTTAAAGTGAGGATTTGAGTGTGACATTCCTCATATTTTCAGATAGATAACAGATGTTACAGAACAAATTGGAATAGCATTGCAAAAAGGTTCAAACTTGCAAGAAAGTTTCTAATTCCAAAACATTTGAAACGACGCAATAATTCATTAATATAAAAAATGAATTAGGGTTATTCTGAATTAGAAAAAGAAAAAAGAACTAGGGAGTTCTAACTTTGAACTCTTTGGGTAGCCCTTTTTTCGGTCGAGGTCCCTTGTACGGAAAGTCACAAAGTAAGCCTTGAACAAAAAGGATACCTGAATGTTTTCCTTAGTATGTGGGCACACAGAATAAACAGGTAACTGATGACCCTCGAAAGTGTACTGCTTAGAACCAGTGGCAACATCCCAGACCTGCAGACATGAGATTTTATGATTGCAGTCCACAGTTTCACCATTCCATGAAAGAAAATACCCAATAAACCCAAACCTTAATAGTCTTGTCCTCCCCACAAGTTATAACGCATAGTTGTTTGTTTGGGTGAGAGAAAGCAAGATCGCTAACATTACCAGTATGAGCATCAATCTGTCAAAACCATGAAGGCAGCCAAGTCGTCATTCTTCCTTTATTGACAGAAAAAGACACGGAATATACACAAGGCATACAAGGTCTGCCAATCACAAAGTATACCTCCAGATGATTCCGTATATCTTCACCACCATGATACGTATATAGGTGCACAATATGCTTGGAGTATGCGACACCTGGAACAGAGGATGAAACAATCAAAACAGAATATCTTAAACCCAACATATTTCTCAACAATTCCATCCCTTTTGTCCTTATCTTTTCTTGAAAGAAAACACAGCTTACATGCAGAAAGAAAACACAGTTTACATGCAGAAACAAAACTACATTTAATGTCAGGATAACTATAAATGTTGAAATTTACATATTCTTTCATGTTCAACATCCAGTAAAATGAGCATGCGAACAAATAAACAAATAGATGCATTTTATATATACCAAAAAGGTTGCCATCAGGACTCCACATTACTCTGTTCACCGATGCAGTATACTCATTGGCCAAAGATGCCTATACAGAAATTAAAAAACAAATAAATAAAAAAAGAGAGGCAGAGATTTCCTTAGGGTTGGCAATTAAATATAAAAATTAAAGAAAAAAAAAGAGAGAGAACATAGAAAAGTTTCTCAGATATAATGCATACCTGCAGAGTCATTGAAGATGTTCCAAGCTCCCAAATCTTGAAACTTCTACTAGTAAGCCTCTCTCTGGCACCAACATCCCACACAGCAACATCACCAATATTCGTTCCAACTGAAAATGAGAAGGGTATGAAAACATATTCACCACGTCAAAAAGTTTCTTTAAAAGCTTAGCTTGAGTTGGAAAAATAGAATCAAAGCTGAAGCCAAAAAGTGGCAAATAGATTTTTTATGGCAGCTACAGCTAACCAAGAAGCAGAGTTTGTTGCACTGGATGGAAATCCATGCTCTTGACAGCGGAACCCTGATTCAAATTCACAACTACAGTCTTGGGCAAATCATCAGAAGAAAATAAGGTATGAGCAGGATTCTGGCCAGGATATGTGACAGGCAAAATATTAACAGGTAGGTTGTTGACCTACACAATTCCATGTACAAGCAAAATTAGCTATCCACAGATCGAAGAAAATGGGGGGAAAAAAATCTAAAATCTGAAGATTAGGACAACAAAAGAACTCATAATTCAAAAGCAACATCACATTTCAAAAGAAAAACATTCAACTTATGGTATGGTCAGTTTGGACCTGCCCTAGATCCAAAAAAATCCAAATTTCCAAAACGCTAAGTAACAATTTTGAAATGAGGAAAAAAGGTTGACGCTGGACATTGATAATTTTCAAAATGACTCAAAAATAACATCAAAACTGGAAATATTACAAAAATTAAAAATTGTGATGAACCAAAAAGGAGCAGCTGAAAACAGTATATATTACCTCATCTGATGATAATCCAAAAGGTCTTGATCTCTTCAGCAAATGTTCAGAATCTGCAGTTTGATAGTCCATTGCCGGATTGTTAGTTGGAGGTGTCCTAGGACGCTTTAGCATAGACACTATCACACAACATATAGGTATAAAAGAATCAGAAGACTAGGAAGAAAAAGATATCCAAGTACAAAAAAAAAAAAAATTCTAATTATTATGATAATAAATAAAGAGAAACTAATTAAATTGTTTCATTGAATTGATGTTAAGCCAAACAACCTCAAAATATTCAAATCATTGGAAAACATGTTACGCCATATATTCTAGTGTGTGTGCAAGTATTCTTGTTCTTATTTGCTTCCAATTTCCTAGAATTTGACTATTCAGAGTTACATTCACCTCCTATGGAAAGAATTCAAGCAGTCCTTTTACCCAAAAAATTGTGCAATTGTAAAATTAACTTCCATGTTATATGATGATCATGATTAGGCAACCAATTCATTGCTGGGTGTCCTAAATTACATAGTTTATACTATCTGACAACCAACGTTACATATGCTAACACCTACCCTTCTTTATTTGAATTTGTTTGGTTTGATTTTTTTTCAAAAGATGTTTTGAAAATTATTTTGAGAGAGAGTTTTAGAAAAAGTGATTGATTTGATGTGTGTGAGAGAGAGATTTGTTTGGAAAACTTGTTTGGTTTACAAGTTTTGAGAACTTTTTTTAGAAAAATTTGTTTGGTTTCATTACTTTTAAAAACTTATTTATAGAGAAAATTTCCTAAAAATTTTTCCGAAATTCAAACCAAACGAACCCTTAAGCTCAGACTAATAATCTTGCTTGCAATAGGGCTACCTGAAATTTTTCTGCCTCATCAGACGTTTGAGATCACCCTCGAATAAGGTGAAGAAAATTATATTTAAACCCAATATATTTCAGTTTTTATGCAGTATTACCAAATTGAAAGTTGACCTTGAATGAATGTCATTTTCAAAAGTATGATAAAAAAAATAAAAAATAAATTATGCAGTTCGTTATGTAATGTTCACTCCCATTTTTGTTTCATCCCCCTACCCCCAACAAATACTCCGTTACAATTTGTACCTCACCCTCAGCTTGTCTAAGTAAATATGGTCCAGAATTATTTTGTCAAACTAAGGCCAAGGATAAAGGTAAGCAAATAATACTCACTTAACAAACTACTGATTACCTGCATTATTTGGAGCAGTAATGCCTATAGGCCCAGCAGAAACAGCCTGGTGTGGCACAGAAGATGGATTAACCATCCATCCTCCAAGAGACGCCGTAAGAGGTGCTGGTGCTGTCTGAAATGGCTGGAGCAAAAACAAAAATAATTAAAATAAGAAGATGACCAAGTCGGAACTTCTAAAATGACTAAAACATCACATAGCTCTATCTCGATGACTTACACCATGAGCACCTAGCGTTGGGAAACCACCCACTTTAGGCAGGGAACCCATTAGAGGATTAGTAACAGGGGAGGGAGCCCGAGCACCATTTGGTTGCCCACAAGTATGGTCGACAAAAAGGGTTTTTATATCAGGGTTAGGCTTCGGATTCTTGCAAAGCTGGTGTTGCCAATTTAAGCTGCAATAAAATAAAAAAAATAAAAATAAAAAAGGGTTACAATGCTAAATATATTATTTGGAAATAAAAAATCAAAATCTCAATTGATAAAAAAAACAAAAGAATTTATAGCATGTTTCTTAAACTACCTCTGATTAATTAAAGTCCGTAGCCTTGAGGTCTTTAAGGTGGGAAATTGTAGCTTATCACGAAATAGCGGATTTGCCTCAATTAACTTCTTGAGCTCAACAAGCATTATAGCCCTGGCTGACTTTGTATCTCCGTATTTAGAGAGTTGCTCGTTTTCCCTGAAACCAAAAATAAATCCATAAAATATAGCAATGAAAACTGATAATAGTAGACGCTCTATCTCACCACCACTAGCAAATTTAAGAATACAGTCCTGTCTTTCAAATGCTCTTTACATATTGCGAGTTTATTCTAAACATGTGGTTTATCTATGTTCCATGCCTCTCCTCTGACATATGGAAATGTGCCAATATAGGGCCATCTGCTTTGTAACCCAAACATGACATAGCTTCATTTGAAAATTTTAATTTAATTGCCCAAAATTGTACTACTTTCATTTCTGCTTCTTTTCTTGTCCAGCAGAACCTTCAATCAAAAAATAAATAAAATGTATAGAAAATTGGAACCAACCTATCAATATCATTAAAAAAATCTCAAAACGAAAACATAATCTGGAGAGGAAAAAAAAAAAAGAAGCATTATGTTCTTCTATATTTAAAGTTTAACTAAGCTCGGCATTTTAATGTAAATAAAAAAAATGATAAATTACAAATGCACCTTGAAGTTTGCCTAAAATACAATTGACTCCCTCACCCTTAGGAAATTACACTCCCCCCTCCTTAAATAGTGTTTGGTTCCCTGGAATGAAGTGTAATGGAATGATCATTCCCTCAAAATATTTATTCTCATTTTTGGTTAGACTAAAAAACTAAAGGCAAATGCTTTACAAATGGAATCATCTTTTACCAATTTAAGGGAATAGAACACTAATGTTCCAAATATTATTGTCCATACTCCCACCCCTGTCATTGCAAAGCTACTAATACAACTCATGATCTAAGAAAAATTGTCTCACAGCTCATCTCCAAATTCACAATGTAATATAGCTCACCAGGACATTAGTCACACAACTCATTCTGACACAGACAGAGTATAATACATCACCATCATCATCAATAGCAACAATTTTAGTATAAAAAGTTCACTGTACCTAAAATTTGCCAGGGTGAGGAGTAGGGTTATTTCCTTGAAAAGTTCTTCATTAAAAGTGGAGAAGACTTTCAAATCCTTCACAAGAATCTCAACAGCGGTAGCATGATCACGCCTGCAAAGAAAGAAACATAATCAATCAATCAAAAAAAAAAAAAAATTAGAAAATTAAAATCAATTACAAAAGCTATAAAAAAATATAACAATTCAATTCAACCGCATACTTGTCCAGTGCTTCAAGGTATTTCTGCTTTCGGATCTCAAAGAAAATTTTCATGGAGTATCTGTTATCATCTACCTTTGTAAACCCAGATAAGTATTTCTCTACCTCTTCCCATTCACCATTAGTCACAGCGTCCTCAAAGTACCTCATGTTGAAGAAAAACCCTGACTCTTTCTCCAACCTTCATTCACAAAATCACAAATCAACAACAAACCCTACCTCCCCTAAAAATAAAAAAAATTAAAAAATTGTACAAATCTCTTACTTGTGAACTGTATCCTTGAATTTCTCTTCATCTAAGAACTGAAGTATCAGAAAAACCAATTCTCTGCTCAGCGACGACATCTCCGTCTCCAATTGAAACCCAAGCAGAGCTTAAAACCTCACAGATCAGCCCAATTCGCCTTCAAACACACCAACAATTGGATCGAATTAGGGTTTCCGAAACAATCGAATCGAATCAAATCAAATCAAAAAACAATTCTCACACACATATATATATATATGCACAAACAGAACAAAATGAAGAGAATCTTATCTTCGTAATATATATACCTTCGATTGACTTGTACAGAGAGAGAGAGAAAGAAGTATATTATAGATCGAGAAGATTTTGCAGAAGACGAGAACAACGAAGGAGACGGAGTTGGGGTGGGTCGTTTTTATAAGTGAATTTTTTTTTTTTTTTTTTTCCTTCTCTATCTTTTCCTTTTTTCTCTCTTTCTCTCTTCTCTCTTTCCTTTCTAAACTTTTTCTCTCTCTAAAAATGGTTAACAACAAGGACAACACTGTGAGAGAGAGAGAGCATTAAAGTTTGAAAGCAAAATTGATTAATGTGTGTACGCGCCATTTAAAGAGCGTGGAATAACGTAAAACAGTACGACCCTAGAATTAATGTACGTGTCGGAGACTCCACGCGCGGTGGGTACGTGGAGAAGAAAGATGTGGACACGTGGATGGTGTCAGTGTATTATGCTTTCGAAGTCGCTTTTAAAAACGCGAGTGGGTCTTTTCTACTCATGGGAAGGTGTGTTGGGGTGTTCGTAGGAAAAAAGGGCAGTAATAAGACAGTCGGATTATCTGATATGATAAGTGCATGAATAAACAAAGTAATAAGAGCTGGTTATTTATTACACTGATAAGTCCAATGGCTTATCTCTGGTGAGATTCCAGTAATATCGTGTACTTCGAGACGAAGCAACTGGAAAGTGGTGTTTTTTTTAGAAATTAAAATTATAGTAATATAAATCCTTTTTAAATGGTATATCATATCCATCTTTAATTATATTATTTTTTAAATGGTATATCATATTTATCTTTAATTATATTATTTTTTAATTATGATTACTCTCTCCGTTTCAAAATAATGGTCATTTTAGGAAATTTAATTTTTTTTTGATAGTACAATTATTGCACTTTAAAAAATTGATTTTCCAAAATTACTGTTTTGATAGTATAATTTTTGGAAATTTCAATGTCATAATTATACTTTTTATATTGTTTATTAATTTAAAAGAATGGTAAAATAAGAAATTTATATTATTTTTGTACTTGATTTTTGAAGAGAGATTAATATTTTGGGACAATGAAAAATGGAATAGGGGACTAATATTTTGGGACGGAGGGAGTAATTTTTTTCTGTAATTATAATTTGGATTATGCTACGTAGCTTGAAATTTTCGAGCTCGAACATGGCCCGAAATTAAAACGACGTCGTTTCGTTGTTTTGGAACGGTAGTTTCATTTGACGATGGGAATATTTGATGAAAATTATCTTACCGGTAAGAAAATTTTAATATATCTTACCGACAAGAGAATCCAAAACGACGTCGTTTTGGGTTTCGAGCCAACTATTTTCGAGCTACCAAACATTTTCCTTATAATTTATAATTTATAATTTTTTTAATCATGTCTCATGTAATATTGATATTTTTTTTTAATTATGACTCAAAAAATTATAATTATATTATTTTTTTAATTATAAAGTGCATATGGTGCACACTTTTTAAAATGTGTGTTTCCTATCTTCTTTTTTTTTAATTTAAAAAAAAAGCTTTATAAAAAGAAAAAGGGAAAAATCAAAATAAAATGGGTAAATTACACTAACACCCCTGAGGTTTTTATTTAATATAGATTCTCCTTTACATTTAAAAAATTATATTTTTCTCTCCGAAAATTTGTAATATCATTACAAATTGTTTCCTAAATTACTGATATTATTCACTAAAATTTTCTAAATAACCATCTTGTCTCCTTCCTATCATCATCAGTGACGGAGCCACATGAGAACTAGGGGGTCACGTGCCCCTCTGGATTTTTCATTTTTTTTTTATGTATATTAATAAAATTTTAAACAAAAATAATATTTAGAATAAAATATCAAGGACATTTTTAAATTTATGAAAACAATAGTGATTGTTTTATTAAAAATGATATTTTTTGTATAAATTTTGGTATGAAATATAATTTTTCATTTTTATTTCAATCATTATATCTAGATTAGATCAATTTAATTTAAATATATTTAAAAAGTATAAAATTTGTACAAATTTGTTTTGTTTTGTTTTGTTCTTGTTTTTGTTTTTGTTTTTTTTTTTAAAATCCATTGAATACAACAAAATAAGATAATGTATTGAATTTTTGTATTTTTATATATTTTGCATTTGGTGAATTTTAAAAAAATAAAAAATATTATACTTTTTAAATATATCTAGATTAGGTGTATCTAAAAAATAAAAATAAAAATTTGCTTAAAATATTTAAAAAATTCAGTAAAAATAAATAAAAAAACACGAAAAAATTTTAATTTTTTGTGTGAGTAAAATCAAAGAAGATAATTGTTATTTTCCTTAAAATGATATGAATAAAATATCTATATTATTTTATTAGTATAAAAATTAAGTGGCAAATATGTCATTTTAATCTTACAGGATAGTAAGTGTAGTTTTTTAAATGTGATGGGAGAACTTGTATTAAATAGAAACCTCAGGAGTTTCACTGTAGTTTATCCAAATAAAATTATGTTTGACGAATAGTTTTTGGAAAGAAATTACTTTTAAATAAAATATCTTAAAAAATTAAATTTAAATTTAAAAAAATTGCACAAAATTAATACGATAGATTTTCTTGAATTTTTTATTAAAATTCAAAAAAATAAAAATAAAAACATTAGACTAAAAAGTGTTGTTTGAGTTTGTGGAATTTATCACATGTTACACTTTAATAATTTGAATCGTTCATTTTCTAATCTTCTAAACATAGATCATCTATGAAAAAATTTGTTGATCAAATAACAAAATAATGTTATTATGATTATTTGATTAATATGCTATTTTATAAATAATTTATACACAAATCTTACAAAATGAACACTTTAAGGCTTCGTTTGGAAAGTGGGTTGGCTTTTTAGTTTTTTTGACTATTTTAGCCTGGGCTAAAAAGCTTGATTTGGGAAAGGCTTTTTGACTTTTTAAACTTTTTTTGTGAGGAAAGAGTATAATGATTATGGGTTGGATGTGATGTTTTATTTGTTGTGGCTAAAATAGCCTATTTTGTCTTTTGTGGCTAAACTAACCAAAAAAGCCACAAATTCATATTCCCAAACGGTGCCTAAATCGCAAAATAAAACCTGTTACAAGTCTTAAAACTAGAAAAATGTGCTCTGGTCTGCACAATACAACGGAGAGTATACTCACCCTCTTGTACATACAAAACCTGTTTCAAATAAATTACTCTTATCATATTATTGTTATAAATCAACGGTGCTCTGTATAAATTTTGTGTAAAATATTTGTATAAAATAATAATGAAAAATATAAAATAAAAATGATAGAATATATTTTATAAATAAAATTAGTAAATAAAAATTCTTATAACACTGAAATAGTATTTTCAGCAAAAATGAAAGCCGAAGTTTGTATTAGACATAATCTTCTTAAAGCAGATTTCATCCTCGCTTTATTGCTTTGAGTTTGGACAGACGTTTACTTTTCAAGATGCAATGACTTACCCTTGCAAATGCAAACTACACCTCCAAGTTTGACAAACCAACAGATGTTGAAACTCTCTCTCTCTCTCTCTGAAATCCTAAGCACTAATATATGCAAGAATAATGATTTGTCTCCCGAAATTCTTCCCCCCGAATCTCCCCGAATCTCTTTAATGGCCAAAACAATGTCGTTTTGGCCTTTTTTTTTTTCTTCTTCTTCTTCTTTTTCCATTTCGACTCTGAAACGCAGGAGGGAGAGAGAGAGAAAGAGAGAAGAAGAGGGGAAGAGAGAAAGAGAAGAGAGCCCAGCCCATCGCCGTCGTCGCCCAGCCTGTCGCCGCCATCGGTCGTCTGCCCAACCCCGGTCATTTGCCCAGCCCCGGTCGTCTGCCCAGCCGCCCCGCCGTCGCAGCCTCTGCCCAGCCCCGCCTCCGCCTCCTTCCATTTTGATGGCCCCTTCCAGTTCCTCTTCCTTCCCCTGCTTCTGAAAAAAAAAAAAAATCGGGGGATTAGGAGTCGCTCAGTTTCGAGCGACGTAGCATGAAAGGAATTAAGTGTAGAAGCAGAGAGAGAAGAAGAAAAAATGAATCCGAAAACTAGATGAATGGAATTTCTGGTGGCTGTTCGGATATGGCTTTATGCCTGTTCGAAGTTACTCACAAAGATGTGACTAGTCAGAAAAGAGGCGACTGGAAGAAAATACATGAATTTGAAATTCAAATTTCAAAATTAGAATTTGGAGCAAATATTTTAGAGTGCGTTTGGTTTAGTTTTGAAATTTTGATTCTTTTTTTGGAATTGTATTTTGAGCGTAGAATTGTGAGTTGAGTTTTGAGTAATTAAAAATTTGTTTGGTTATTAATTTTGAACAGAGTTTTGAAAAGTTTTTTGAAAGGAATTTTTGAATTTTGAAAAGAGCGGATTGGGTTTACCAGGTAGTCCTGCCAGTTGATCAGAACAGTGTAATTTTTTTTTTTTGATTGCAACCTGTTATTTGAAAAAAAAATATATATATTTTTTAAATATAGAAATTAATTTTTTTAGATTTTTTGTAATAAGAATTTAACAATCTCATCACTAACCATCTTCAACACCATATCATCAAAAGAGTTTTGAGTTTTGAATTTTGAATTGTATGTTTGCTTATGAGTTTTGAAATTAATTTTTGAATTGTGTTTTTGGTTATGAATTTTAAAAAGTGATTTGAAAAGTTTATCTTTGGAACAAACCAAACGGAGCCTTAGATTTGAATTTCATAATTTTTGAACAAAAAGTTAAAAAAATTCAAACGAATAATACAAACTAACCCACAAGCCCACAACTTGACACTTGAGCTCGGCTCGGGCAGGACGGGAAAGCAGTGCGCGTGTTTGGTAATTTTTATCCAAGTAGGATAAGCTTATCCCACAAATGTAGGACAAATTTATTTCACAAATGTATATAAAACTCACCAAAACTCCATTTCCACACAACTCACTTTGAAGACTCGTAAATGGTTTTGTCAAACCAATTATATAGTGTTACTCACAACATAGAACGCATTACTATTTGTACCCTCCAAAATTAGCGAAAGGGTCTCACTTTAACTCAAAGTTTACTAAAATATGACTTTCACAAAATTATTTCCAACAGTTGTTTTAGTGATTAGAGTTCAAATACTTAACTTTATTATTCTATGTTATATTTATGAATAAAAGAATGAAAACAAAAATTTGTAAGATTTATATATTTCATATGTTATCTGAAGAACCAGAAATTCTTACAAGAGAAGAAGATA